CCTCCCCACCTTGGAGCCTCATACACGTTCTCCAGATGATTCTCGTTTGACTCACCAGGTGGCATAAGAAATGGCTATGTTCTGAAGCTAGAGGATGTGTGTGTATTTGTGTGTGTTTGTAGTGGGTAAGGAGATTCCTTTTCTGTCACACTTTAAAGTCTATGAATAAGTTTCCAGTCTAGTTTTTCTACTTATTCTTGGTACTTGGCTCATAGTATGTGCCAATTATTATTTGTTGATTAAGTGACTTAGGTAATTAATGAAAATATGACTCAAGGAACTGGGGAAAAAACAAAACAAAACCCCAGAGAAACCCATTCAATGACATTTTAAGGATAATATCCAGATGATGCCAACAAAAATTGATGATGCTAGACTCAGAAGGCAGAATACTGAGGGTGGGACTTAGGTGATTTGCCAACAAGCAGAAATGTGTAGTGTTTTGTTTGCGATGTAGTTAGGGCTAGTCTGATCTTTGCAGGTGGACGCAAGAACCACCTGTCCAGGAATGTTTTGCTCATGGATCCAATACGGTGCTTGTAACTTCCACAATTAGAACCCTTCTTTTTTTTTTTTTTTGGTTATACTAGTACTTTTCAAGGCTTTAATGTGATGTGCACCTGAATCTCCTGAGGATATTGTTATAAAATATGGAGTATGATTCACAAGTCCTGGGGTGGGGCTTAGAGCCTACAGTGCTAAGTGGTTTCTGAGTGATGTAGATGCTGTTGATGTAGAGACCACACTTAGCATTGAGGAGGAGGGGACTCAGTGGTCCCAGGTGGAGGTAGCTGGCCACTGGTGTTCACTGCTGCCTTATCATAGATGTAGCTTTTTGAATAGGGGATTTTGATAGTAGGAGAAATGGCCTGTACTGTGGGGCTTGGCTTGTGGACAGCTCTTGACATTGTGGCAATATTTTAATGCAAGTGTCTTAACTGCAACAGGAACCAGATTTCTATTGCTGAGAGAAACAGCTCACCCTGCTCTGCAGATTTCCTCAAATGGGACAGTGATCAGCTTTGCTGAAAGAAGACGGCTGACAGAGTAAGTAGACTAAGAAAACACCAGTGTGCTGATGCCTCAGCAGTAGAATCTTCCTCGAGTTTGTCACTTCAGTGTGGCCTAACCTGAGTGTATTCTTGACTGACTTACTGTGCTCAGCTGTCTTATAGAACATAAATGTGCACAGTACATGGTGGCCTAGTGGCAAGAAGCTGCACTGCAATCCTAGAGGCACGCAGTTTGAATCCACCAAATGCTCTGCTGGAGAAGGAGGGGCAATCTCCTCCTGTCAGATCCAATTTGATGGTACACACACACAAAATAATAAAATTTTAAAAAATTTTTAAAAAACGTTCACAAGTTCAATGACAGTTCATTACTAGGCAGGAAGTAACAGCTATTGGTTCATAACTTGTAGAAAGTGTCAACATTTTTATTGGAAATATAAGCACAGATGGTTTTGTTGAAAACATTTGAGGGATTATTTCTAGTTCAAAGAAGAAGAGTCCAGGTTAATTCCCTTATAATTTTCCATAACTGACTAGATTTTTCTATCAGCCCATCTGAAAATGGATAGAGGAAGATGATATTTTGTTGAACGTTTAGTTCTGGCCGCATTCAGGATTTTGAGAAACTTGCTGCTGCTCAACAGGTGGCAGGATCAAAGCAAACAAGAGTCGAAAGCTCCTCTTGGACCAGGTGGGGAGACTGTCCCACAGTTCACCTGTGGGTCAAGATTGTCAAATGGGAGAAAATATGTGAAAGTATTTTGACAACTGTTACACTATGTGAAACACGTGGTGTTGATGTAACCAGGACTTGGTGGGCTGCACGTTCCCACAGTGAAACACCAGGCCCACTTACAGTAACTTGCACTGTCACTGTTTTCCTATCTGAGATTGTTGGTCTATGGAAGGCCCAGCTCAGGTATTTCCTACACCGGAAAATGGCCATCCTCTTCTGTGGTGCTCCAGCTACCTTTTGATCTTACTATCTAAAAAGCTTGATCACTTGAGATCATGTGTCCACCATTAGTTCCTATAAAGAGACCTCTGGTGGTGTAGTCTGTGGGGAGTTGTGCTGCTAACCCAAAGCCTGAGTGTCTCTGGTGTTTCAAATCTACCAGTAGCTCTAAGGCAGTCTCCTCCCATTATGGTCCACATCTTCTGAGACAACAGAGGGTCCCTTTGAGTTGGAACTGAACTGACAGCAGTGAGTTTGAGTTTGAGAATCCCAAATACTTCTCAAGCAGCAGCCCCATCTCCAATATTTTTGAATCCCCAGAGTCTAGCATGAAGTCTTGGCACATTGTAGATGTGGAAAACATACAGATTAGTGATTTCAGGGCAAACAAATGAAGAAACGGTTTTTGTTTTGGGCTTTTCTAAAAAGTCAAAAATGAAAAGTAGACTGGAGGGTGGAAAGAGTTTGTACGTAATAACTGATGATAGTCATAGTAAATTTTACAGAATTGTATTGATTATTAACCTGAAAATGAGTTCATAAATATCAAGGCTTTTCTCCAGAGTAAGAGCTTGTCAGTAGCCACCTCTCTGAAATGAGAAAGTGAAAAACAGTCCCTTGCATGAATCATTTTCTCATCCGTTAAAGGGGGGAAGGGCACTGACTGAATATTAACTCTGCTTAGCTTAAAAATTCTTCCTTGCTGTCTCAGCCATTTCAAAGCAAAATTGAGCAGTTCATGCAAACAAGGTCACCCAAGCAGGTGAAAGAAAGTCCTTTCGTCCATTTCAGCGTGACTCTTCCAAAAATAGCTTAGATGAGACAAAAAGAGACCTTTCAACAACCCCTCGGGTGCTCCTAGTACCATCCAAACGGCCAGAGTCCAGAAGACTGTTGACAACAAGCTTCCACAAAGCAGATTAATTATAGCCTGCAGTGGACAAAAGCATGCTGAGGATTTGGAGAATTCTGTGATAATCAGGTCAGAAAGGTTAAGGGAACAAAACAATAGCGTATGTTAATTTCTAGCAGTTTCCAATGATAGGGTCCGGCCTAAACTGTATGCCAGTTTGGGAATGTTGACCCACGGGAGATATATTGGTGATTTCTTGCTAAACTTTGTCTGATTAACTTGGCCTGCAGGATTCCATCAGTGCTGGGCGAGGAGCTGCCTGCCTGTGGTCAGCATTACTGGGAAACCACGGTCACAGACTGTCCAGCTTATCGACTTGGCATTTGCTCCAGCTCAGCTGTTCAAGCCGGTGCCCTGGGCCAAGGGGAGACTTCATGGTACATGCATTGTTCTGGGCCACAGAGGTAAGCAGGAGCCCTGCCGCTCCCCTTTTAATCCCCACTTAGTCCAAGTACTTTGAGTTGATGTCTGCAAAGGATTTCTGAGGACTCCATTAAATAGCATGTAACTCCCCTGTCCAAGCTCTGAACCAAGTAAGAAAGCAAACAAGAGTCAGTATACAGGGGTTGGAAATAATACTCAGATTGGGGAGGAAGCTGATAGTAGGCAAAGTGGTTCATACCTGAGAGTTAACGTTTCTTATACTGAAGCCTATTAATAGACAAACTCACCACCAACCCAGAGCCTAGGGTGTTATGTGATTCTTGGAGACACAGGAAAGATTGTATGTTTCCTGTGTGTTGCTCTTAATCAAGAGATAGGGAAGAGGAAGGGGCCACCATACTATGCCTGTCTGGTGGGTTTTTTTTCCTTCTAAACTCACTGTAGGAAGAGAGAGATCATTGTGTAATGGTAAAAGACCCCTTTTCACAGAGAAAAGCTAGAGAGGAGTGATGGAGACGTGGTACTTCCCTATCCCTCTAAGTTGGCAAAGTACAATCCATGAGCCAAATATGTTCTATCATATGTTTTTAGAAATAAGGTTTTATTAGAACATGGTCAAGGTCATTTGTTCCAAGGCTATTTTTGTGCTACAGTGGCAGAGTTGACTTTTCACAACAGAGACTGTGTAGGCTACCCTGCTGTCGTTGTTAAGTTGTTAAGTGCCATCAAGTCATAGACGACTCATAGCAACTGTATGAACACAAGACCTGAACATTTGTATAACTTGCATAGTTTCTCCTAGTTCATAGAGTTTCTGGAGGCAAGCTATTTTGGAAGCAGATGCCACTCCTGCTTCCAAACTTGTTTTAGTCGGGGAGCTCCACCAAACACTGTCCACCATGGGTAACTATTATTGCATTTGACACATCAGTGTCACAGTGTTTAGCATCAAAGCCACCATGAGTTACCTCTGTACAGCAAATGGACAGACCAGTGCTATGCTACTTAGAAGAATGTTTGATGAAAAATAATTAAAACCAGGCCTGAGGATCACAGACTAAAATCACCCAACTTCGACTTGGTAACATAACTTTCTATCCACCAGGCCCACAGAGCTCTATCTTTCTGCTGTTGATGGTGTTAAGTGCCGCTGAGGCTACCCTGCTACCAAGCCTTAAATATTTACTATCTGGCCTTTTATAGAAAAAAGTTTACTGACCCCTGGCTCGTACTTCTTATATTATTTGATTAGTTGAAATGAAAGCTAAATAAAACAAACCACAGATAAAAACAGGGCCAATCACCAAGAACTAAGACAAGCATGTGTAACCTCAATATGTCTGTGGAACGTGCAATAGATAATGCACTGGACAGGAGGCCAAGAATTTGATTTTCTTTCAGTTCCATCTTAGGCTAGCCTTCTATGAACTGTGCATTCAAAGTTTATTGACCCTTTGAGCCTACTTTATCAGCCTCACTATTTTATTGGGAGAAAATAATCCCTGGCCTCTACCTGTGGGATTACAACCAAAGGTTGCCATTGGGCACAGGCAGGAGCTCTAAGTTGTAAAGCAACGTGTAAGCGTTGTTAACGTGCAGCGTTACTCACACGTGCTTTGAAAAATGAGCCTTCAGTGCTTGCAAGTTCCCAGGAAAAGGTTCACAGATTGGGGTTTTGCATGTCTCTGGCTGCACTTTTCTCCCTGCATCCTCCTTGACAGAGCTTGATTTTCTGAGCTGGTTCACAAGGGACGTCATCTCAAAGTGCTATTTCAAAACACCTTTCATCAAGTCATGGCAATTAGGATTGATAATTAGTACTGTGCAATGCTTAAGAACCAGTGTCTGCAGAGAGTTTAAAATCACTCGAACCTTGAGCTTATAAGCAGTAAGTTTACAGCTGGAACTAGGTTTTGATTTCCTGAAAACTTCTTTAGAAGCTTGGACACTTAATAACCTAAGCTAGAGACAAACCTCCAGGAACTTGACTGCTAGCTGAGATGTTGACTGTGTGAGCCCACCAAGAGGTGGGATACAGGCATGCTGATCTGCTTCTGAAAGGTCACAGCGTTGAAAACTCACTGGAGCTTATCTCCTCTGTACACATAGGGTTGCCGTGAGTCAGAACCAACTTGACAGACATTAATAACAACCAGGCTCTAGGAAGCAGAATAATTACATGCTTTGTTGATAATTCTATCTACATGTGTGGTCTTGGGTAGGTGTGGCCTTGGATAGGTTCCTAGATGCTGGAAGAAAGAGTGGCAGCCTGTGTGGTCACAGCTCAAAGCTCAGGCTTCCTTTCAAGTTCAAGGGGCTTCAGAGAGAGCACCCCTGGCCTCCAGAAAGCGGAGAGAATTGCTGTGCCAGACGCTCAAATAATTTTTCACCTTTTCTGGCTTAATAATTTAAAGCCAGGCTCTTGATTCTACTCAGACAGAAACTAAGTATTACTATTTTACAGTTGTTGTTATGTGCCGTTGAGTTACATGTGATTTATTTACAACACCTCTGAACCCTGTTCTATCCTGAGCTAATCTCACTGTCTCTGACAAACCTACCCCTATTCCCCCACTCACCGTATCAATCCATCTCATCTGGGTCTTTCTCTCCTGTGCTGTCTCTCCGCTCTTCTGAGAATGATGTCCTACTCCAACGACCTTCTTGCTACATGCCCAAAGTATGTGACATGGAGCTTCAAAATTCTTGCCTCCAAGGAGCAGATTGGTTTCACCCTTTGCAGGACAGACCTACCTGTTTGTTCTTTTGGTGGTCCACAGCATGTTCAATACTCTTCTCCAGCACCACAACTCAAAGCCACGGATTCTTCTTCTATTATGCTTATTCATTGCCCAGCTCTCTAATGCATAAGTAGTAATTTACAAAGACCATGGCTTGGACCTGTTTACAATAGGAAAGGATAAATGAGAGTATGAGAAGGAAGAATCAACTGGACTAGAACGTCTTTATTCCTGTCCAGTCCTAACCCTACCACCCTAGTTGTAGCCTCCTCACTTCCTTTACCAGCTTCTGCTTCCTTCATAGCTTCCTCACTTGTTTCTTTGCTTGTAGTCTCTCTCACTCTGATCTATTCAATGTGTCACAACAAGCAAACACTGTTAAAATATCGTTTCTTTGTGCCCTTTTAACTTTTCTGCTCATAAGTCTACAGTGGTATGGTTTTCAGGGATGGGGAGATAGAAAAAGGGATTAAAAGGCAATGTTGTTGTTATGTGCTATTGAGTTTCTTGTGACTCATAGCAACCCTGTGTACATCAGCCCTGAAATCTGTTATATCCTGTGCCAACTTTACTGTCGCTGACACACTTACTGTCATTACCCCAGTCACTGTATCAATCCATCTCATTGATGGTCTCCCACTCTTTCTCCATCCATCCATTCTTCCAAGCATGACATCCCTCTCCAAGGACTGGTCTCTCCTTGAAACATGCCCAAAGTATGTCAGTCGAAGCCTCGGAATCCTTGCCTCCAAGGAGCAGCCTGACTTCACCCTCCCTGTTGTTGTTGTTGTTGTTATGTGCCGTCAAGTCGTTTGCAACTCATAGCGACCCTATGTACAACAGCCCTAAACCCTGCTGTATCCTGCGCCAACCGCACTGCCTCCGACACACCCATCCCAATTACCCCAGTCACTGAATCAATCCATCTCATAGAGGGTCTTCCCCTCCTGTGCCGTCCCTCCGCCCTCCCAAGCATGATGTCCCTCTCCAAGGACCCGTCCCTCCTGGCAACATGTCCAAAGTATGTCAGACGAAGCCCCAGAATCCTTGCCTCCAAGGAGTAGCTTGGTTTAATCCTCTCCAAGATGAATCTGTTTGTTTTCCTGGCAGTCCATGGTACATTCAGTACTCTTCTCCAGCACCACCGCTCAAAGGCATCAACTCTCCTTCTGTCCTCCCTAGTCATTGTCCAACTCTCTGATGCATAACAAGCAATTGCAAATACCATGGCCTGTATCAGGCGCACCTTAGCCTCCAGAGAGACACCCTTGCTCTTGAGCACTTTAGAGAGGTCCCTAACAGCAGACTTTCCCATCGCGATAAGCTTTTTGATTTCCTGACTGCTTGTGCCAAGAGTGTTCACTGTGGAGCCAAGCAAACTGAAGCTGTGAACAGTCTCAATCTCTTCGCCATCCATCCTGACGCTGCCAATTGGTCCAGTGGTGAGAATCTTTGTCTTGTTGACATTGAGCCTCAGTCCATACTGAAGGCTGCAGTCCTTGACCCTCCACAGCAAGTGCATGAGGTCCTCCTCAGTTTCAGCAAGCAGGGTTGTGTCATCTGCATAACGCAGATTGTTAATAGATCTTCCACCAATCCTGATGCCACAATTCTCCTCATAGAGCCCAGCCTCCCGGATAATCTGCTCTGCATATATGTTGAAAAGGTATGGAGACAGGATGCATCCCTGGCGTACACCCGTCCCAATTTTGAACCATGCAGTGTTACCCTGCTCTGTTCTGACTACTGCCTCTTGGTCCAAGTATAGGTTTTGCATTAGCACGATTAAATGTTCTGGGATTCCCATTCTTCTCAGAGTCAGCCACAGTTTGTTATGATCCACTCAGTCAAATGCCTTTGCATAATCAATGAAACACAGATATACATTCTTCTGGTATTCTCTGCCCTCAGCCAAGATCCATCTAACATCAGCAACAAAATCCCTAGTACCACGACCCTTTCTAAACCCAGCCTGGACTTCCGGCAATTCTCTGCTGATGTGCTGTTCTAGTCATTTTTGGATAATCTTCAGTAGAATCTTGCTTGCATGTGAAATCAATGACACTGTTCTGTACTTTCCACACTCAGCTGGGTCACCTTTCTTTGGAATGGGAACAAGTATAGATCTCACCCTCCCTAGTATAAACCTTTTGTTCTCTTAATAGTCCATGATATATTCTATACTCTTCTCTAGCACCACAGCTCAAAAGCATCAATTCTTTTTCTATCAGCCCTAGTCATTTTCCAGCTCTCTGAAGTATAGCAAGCAACTGCAAAGACTATGGTCTGGGTCAGGCAATAGATAATAAACATCTATTAAGATGAGTCAAAGGAAAGGCAATCTACAATAAGAAGTTGATCAGGCATTATCATTCATTAACTACATTAAGTAATGCTAATTAATATCATAAATATGAATGAGAATGCAATATGATTTGTAAACTTTCATTCAAATTATCATAATAAAAAGTCATTAAAAACGCATGTAATTCCAGAAAGCTGTCTGGCCAACAGATTGGAAGAGGTCCATATTAGTTTCCATTCCAAGAAAGGTGATCCAACTGAATGTGGAAAGTATCAAGCAATATCATTAATATCACATGCAAGGAAAATACTGCTGAAGATAATTTAAAAAATGGCTAGAATGTTACATAGATAGGGAACTTTCAGAAATTCAAGCAGGATTTAGAAGAGGCCATAGCACCACACCCGGGATATCATTGCTGATGCTAGATGGATACTGGCTGAAAGTAAACAATACCCTCCCCCCTCAAAAAAAGTCTATTTGTGCTTTATTGACTATACATATGCATTTGAGAGTGTGGATCATGACAAGTTGTGGCTGACATTGAGATGAATGGGATTCCCAGAACACTTGATTGTGCTCATGTGAAACATTTACCTGGACCAGGAGGCTGTTGTGCAAACAGAGCAGAGGAGCACTGCATGGTTTAAAACTGAGAAAGGAATGTGTCAGGGTTGTATTCTCTCTCTACACCTATTCAGTCTGTATGCTGAGCAAATTATCCGAGAAGCTGGATTCTGTAAAGAGGAGTGCGGTGTCAGGATTAGAGGGAGACTTATCAATAACCTGTGTTATGCACAACCATGCTTGCTGAATGTGAGGAAGATATGAAGCACTTGTTGCAGAAGATCAAGAATGTAGCCTTGAGTATGGATTATATCTCAATATCAAGAAAACAAAGATTCTTAACCCTGGGCCAATAGGCAGTATATCATGATGAATGGAGAGGAGATTGAAACTGTCAACAGCTTCTTCTTGCTTAGATCTACAATTTACACAGTTGGTATGGAAATAAGGAGATGCATTGTGCTGGGAAAATCTACATTCAGGGACCTCTTCAAATAATTGAGGAATAGTGCCCTCAGTTTGAGGACTAAGGTGCGTCTGATTTAGGCCATGATCTTTCCAATCACTTGTGCATGAGAGCTGGACAAAGAATAGGGATGATAGAAGAAGAATTAAGACCTTTAAGCTCAGGTATTGCAGAAGATCACTGAACATTCCATGGATGGCCAAGAGAACAAGCAAATGCGTCTAGGAGAGGGTATGGCCAGAGTACTCTTTGGAGGCAAGAATGATGAGGGGTCCACCTCACATATTTTAGGCATGTTGCTAGGAGGGACTATTCCTTGGAGAGGGACATAATGGTAGGAAGGGTGGAGGGTTGGTGAAGGAGAGGAAGACCCTCAACCAGGTGGATTGACATGGTGACTGCTGCAGTGGGCTTCTGTGTGTCAGGAAATGTGAGGATGGCACAGGATAGAGCAAGGTTCAGATCTTTTTTTCATAGGGTTGCTATGATTCACACCACACTCTATGACACCTAAGAACAACAATTTCCAGATGCTAAAAAAGAAAAAAAAACACACCACAAAACTACCCTAAAATGATTAAAACTCTGTTTAAAAAAAATTCTACAGTGGTGTCAGAGCTTAGGTGAGGAGAGCTTTAGGGCATAGGAAGGGACCACCAGACTAGGGCTGAAGAGCCAACAGTGAGAGCAAGCACCAGTGTTCACAGGGGTCAGGGCTCAGTCTGGGCTGCAGTGGCATGTGTCCAGTCTGGGGAGAGGGCCCCAGAACAGACAGTTTCAGTGTCTGAGGTGCCAAGAGACAGACTTCTGGAAGAATCATGATTGAACAAGGCCCAGCAGCCCCAAGGACAAGCAGCAAACACTGGACAGGGAGTTTGGGTCCAGGCAAGCCAACTTCGGTTCAGATCAGGGTTCAGTAATGGAAGAACTGGTATTCCTAGTAGGAAATGAAGCAGAAAGTAGGTGGGGTAGCGACTGGTCCCGTTGAACTGGTGGAATCAAGGCTGTGTGGCGTAACCTGCTTCATGGTGGGGATTGGCTGCCCAGGAGCTGCCCAGGGCTAGGCAGCAGACACCATGGATTTTCTAAGCAAGACAAGGAAACAGCTCTTTTGGGCATCCAGAGTCCTCCTGAGCAGCTCTGTATGAAAGCAAATTTTGCAAACATAGGAAAATGTTGACACGTACGGCTGTTAAACCCTTGCTTGAACTGTGGCTGGTGGGACTGAGCAACTAACTTTGTCTTATATTTCCATTGGATTAAACAAAGTGTGGCTGTTGTTGTTGTGTAACACTGAGTCAGAACTGACCCATAGCTGACCTTCTGCTGTGTTTCACACAGAAGAGTGCCCATCCTTCTCCCACAGAGCAGCTGGTGAATTCAAACTGTGTGCCTTTAGGATTGCAGCACAGATTCTTACCCCTCGGCCCCCAGAGCCAATGGTTACCATATTGGACAGGACAGCTTTAGACCTGGCCCCTGACTTAGCTCTCTGTATATTATACCAAAGCTTACTCCCATGTCTCTCCAAATCCACCAGGCAGATAATACAGTCTCTGAGGTTCATGGGCTTATTTTGCACCCCTGCTGGCCTCACTGCTGGGACCGCTTCTCCATCTTTTCTGTGATCCAATCTTTCCTGTTCTCTGAGCCCATCTGCTCCAGGAAGCCTTCTGTATGAACCTCACTGCCACCAGCAACATGTGCCTCCCCTACAGGCCTTAGCATTTCACAATGTCCCATCCTATCTCTTATTAGTAAGGCATTGAGAAAGTTATTTAATATTTTTAAGTCTTGCTCATTTCCTCATCCCCAGGAGCTCTGAACTTCAATCTGTATTTTATTTTATTCTACAGTTGTCAAATTGTCTTCCCTCTAAATCTGCTTTCAAACTTTTAGACCTTTACGGTGACAGAGTCACTTACCTGAGCTAGTAAACCCCAAACTGACTTGTGCTACTGTGTACTACTACCCCTCATCCCTACACACCTACAGACCTTTCCTCATTTATTTTTGTCTATTCCATCTCTTGTTTCTTCCCTTGCCCTGGTTTCAAGGCCTCTCCCTCAATTTCTAAGACTGCCCAGATAAAATAGCAAATTTCTGGTATCAAGCAACTTAATGACTGCTTTCCAGCAGTTTTTCCTCCAAGCTTGGCTTTGAACCTTTTCTTTCACAACAACAACAACAACAAAAAAGAACATAGAAATTCCATATGATCCAGCTATCCCACTGCATGGAATATACCCTGAGGAAATGAGAACTGAAGCACAAACAGAGACTTGTGCACCAATGTTCATAGCAGCGTTATTCACCATCACAAGAACGTGGAAAGAGCCTGAATGTCCAATCACAATAGAATGGACTGAGAATTTATGGTACATTCTCACTATGGAATACTACACAGCATGCAGGAGCAATGACTTTGAAAATCACTGCTTAACTTGAAAGGAACTAGAGAGCATTATGCTAAATGAGCTAACTCAGTCCCATAAGGACAAATACTGTATAAAAACCATTATTGTAGAATGTGTATGAGGATCCAACAGGGGAGGGTAGGAGCAGAGGGGGTGAATATAGGGGGAGTGGTTGATTACAGGGTCACACAGTTTGATGGGTGGAGGGAGGGGACGTGTTAAAGAAATGGGAAAGGTCCAGTGTGAAAAACAATGTATACAAACTTTGTAAGTAAACTAGTATAAAATAAAAATTTTATTTTTTAAAAAGCTCCATTAACTATGTTTAGTAAGTGAATGAACAATTTGTGCTTTAGGGAGCTCTGATGGCCTAGTGCTAAGAAGCTGCACTACAATCTCAAAGGCACATGGTTTGAATCCGCCAGCTGCTCTGCGGGAGAAGATGGGCAATAACCTCCCATGCAATTAAATTGCCTCTGGAAACCTGCTGAAGGGTCGGCTATGGCTCTGTGGAACACAGCAACATTTGTGCTTGATGTGAATACTAACTTCTGGTCTGTGCTTAAATCATTAATAATGTTTTCTTTCCCTCTTCTGACAATATGGGTTTCCAATGAGAGCTTAGTGCTTCATCCTCTCACCAGACAACTCCCTCAGGGTACCTTCAGCAAGTGAATGCTTATTTATCTAAATCGAAGATAGAAATCAAAGGCGACCCCTTTACTGCCTGCAGAAAACATTGAGAAGATGAAATGGAAAGTTGTGTGGGGGCAGAGCAAGTGTATACAAAGGATGGAGTTGGGCAAAAATAGTAAAATCTTTCTTAAACTTCCTAAAAGCCCTTATGTAAGTTAAGTTAGCTATAATTTTTTTTTAACTGTAAAATGAATACATTGTATGGAAGGCAAGCCTGTGGTGGTACCTTTTAAAATACATGGCAGCCTCAAAGGAGTTTTATTCAAAAAGAATGACACATTATGAATGCAGTAGTTAAAACATGTGGGCAGCTGGGAGAGAATTAGAATGTTAAGAATCACAAGGGAGGCATATATTGGCTATGCTGGGATTGTCTTCTAATGTGGAAGGAGCAAAATTCTTGAGAAGGCTTGTCCGCTGGGATGACTGTGCATTTCAGCAGCTAGGAGGGATACGTGAAGTATTTTGGACAACATTATTGGAAGTCACTATTGTAAATTGAAGTTAGCAACCGAACAATTGGTTATTTCAAGTGATTTTCTTGAAGATTTGTAAACGTTTCTATTTTCCTCCTGTTTCATTTCAGATACACATTTTTCTACAGTGGCATTGTGAGTGACGTTCACGTAACCGAGCGCCCTGGCCGCGTGGGCATTCTGCTGGACTACAGCAACCAGAGACTTCTGTTCATAAACGCCGAAAGTGGACAGTTGCTGTTCACCGTCAGGCACAGATTTAACGAGGGTGTGCACCCTGCTTTTGCCCTGGAGAAACCTGGAAAATGTACTTTGCACCTGGGGGTCGAGCCCCCAGATTCTGCACGGCACAAGTAGTCATTTGCTTGCAGAGTCTGGTAGAGAAGTAACTCAGATGCCAGGGTCTGTTGCTCTTTTCACTGGGTGCATTATTCAACAAGTCTCCCAAATGCTCACGCTTGTACTAGCTGCGCACCCTGACAGCACGGGAGCAAACCTCCCAGAAATCAGAAATGGACTTTCTGAGCAGCCTGGGCGGCAAGAGGGTGCTAAAAACAACCTCCACCCTTCGGTGCATCTATACTTGAGCTGTTTTCTAGATGAAAAGAATTGACACTTGACTTGGGAACCAAGATAGTGACATGAACATCTACCTGTTCTGTTGGAAGAAGAAAACCCCACAAGCAAAACCAACAAATCCACTGATGAATGGGGCTGAGTGAAGGGAGAGCGGTGTTAAGTAACACATCACCTCTGACAAACAAACTGACTTCCATGAAAACAATACCACCACACTTCACCAAGGAATGATGAATGCTAATCACTAGACAATATGGCTCACCGAGAAGATGTAATTGTTCTAAGTTTGTAATGAACTATTTTGTAATAATGTAGACTGTAGAATGAGAGTCCCTTTTTCCCTGAAATTTCAAATGTAGAAACATGCTACCTGTTAGAAACTCCCATTTATGTTTAATAAATTGTTAGGCTCTTTAAGACAATTCATGTTATGTGAATTTATTAGTCAACATGGGTAATTGACCAGTTTGTTGTCTTAAGGACAAATTGCAGAATTTGCCTCATAAGTAACCACTGAACCTCAGTGGGTTGCACTCTTGGGATTTTTCCACATGAAAATGATGTACATTCACATTTTAAGATAAATTCTAAAATAGGACCAGCCTCATAGTTTGAGTCAACTGGCAGAAGCTGGGAATCTCTTTTTACTAAATTAAGATGGGTGGTCATTTTTAGAGAGTCCTTTGAAATCTTTCAAGATCTTTAAATATGTGTGCAAAGTTGAGAAAACTGGAATTCATTTTCAGATGACTGCTCTTGTTTTCTGTAATACAAATATTTTGGTCACAATTATTTATAGTTTGTTGATTTCATGTTATGAACTGACTTTTTTTAAACTTGAGAATGAATATCCCGCTTTTCAGATACATTCTAAAAAACTATTATTCAACAGGTAGAAAACCCAAACTGTAGCTTCCTTTCAACACCATCACGCAGCTTTGATAACAAGACTCCTCTGGCAGGGCAGGTGCTTGATTAAACAGGGGAATAACTTGCTGCTTTGCTGAGTTAATTGTCTTCGCTTTATCAAGTCTTAGAGGCATGATCTTCTAACTTATCAATAGCTTATGGTAGTTGACATTTGTGCTGGGAATATAATGTCATTAAAAATAGTAAAAGTAGTAGCCATGGCAACGTGAATTTTAGCCTTTGTCTTAGCATGTTGTTGCTAATGTGGTGTCAACTTGAGTTTGACTCATATTGTGATCCTATGAAAAACATACCTGAAGCCTGTCCTATCCTGTCCTGTCCTCGTTGTCTCTGAAACGCTTGAGCCCATTGCTGCAGTAACTGTCAATCTATCTCACTGAATGAAGGTTTTCCCTTCCTATTCTGACCTTTCTAAGCATGATGCCCTTTTACAAAGAATAACCTCTCCTAGAAAAATGCCCAAAGTATGTGAAATAAAGCTTCACCATCCTTACTTTCAAGGAACATTCTGGATGCACTTTTTCCAAGACATATCTGTTTGCTCTTTTGTCAATCCATAGGATATTCATTCAGTATTCTTCTCCAACACCACAATTCAAAGGAATCAATTCTTTTCCCCTTGTTGTTATTCACTCTAACTCTCAGAGGTATAGAAAGTGATTGAAAGACCATGGCCTGAATCAGCAAATCTTAGCTTCAAATGAACATCATTGCTCCCAGTACTTTGGAGATATCTCTGACAGCAGATTCGCCCAATATAATTCATCTCCTGATTTCCTAACTACAATCAAGGGTGTTGAATGTGGAACCTAGTAAGATTAACTTGCTGGCAATGTAAATCTTTTCTTCGTCTATCATGATGTTGTTTATCAGTACAATGGTGAAGATTTTTGTCTTCTTGATGTTGAAATGCAATCTGTATTGAATCCATTTCTGCAGCAAGTGTTTCAAGTCCTCCCTACTTTCAGGGCTATGTCATATGCATAATGCACATTGTTGATGAGTCATCCTCTGAACCCAATGTCACATTCTTCTTATAGCATCTAGTTTGATCTGGGATCTCCTAGAGTGAATTGGGTACTTGGCCAAGCTATATGACTCACCTTAACGTTGAACCTGCCTTCTTATTCTTCCAAGATGCCACCAAAACCAAATGCAAATCAGAAATCCATCCAGTACATATTACCAAACAATGACAACAGACTGCTGCTATATTCTGCTTTAAAATAACTCATAAATGCATGATGGTTTACTTGATAGAGTCCTTAACATTGACCAAGTTCAATGGCCTTAGTAGATAATGCAATAGTCAACTCAGAACACCTAAATAAAACTCATACTATGTACTACATGCCTTATGTTCAGCTAAGGCATATTCCAAGAAGGCTGGGGTTGACTGTCTGTTTCCTGCTTGTCATAGCCATCATGTCTCTGATTCGGAGACTGCTGGGAAGTGATCTTGGATGTACCACTGAGCTGAATGAAGTTGGATTTGATTTCCAGTGCTCAGGAGGGAGCAAATATTGATGCAATTTTCAGAATTAGAGTTCAATGCTTCTCTTTCCTTTTCTAGTCTCAGTCTATGTGGTTATCCTAGCTTCATGTTTTTGTCTTAAGAAAAACTAATTTCTATGGGAGGGTGTGTGTGTGTGTGTGTGTGTGTGCTTGTGTCCCAACTGACAATAGTAATTTCTAATATCCAAATAGCATATGAGCTTGAGAATAGTTGGAGGATTAAGAATATTAAGCTTGGAACAAATTTTAGGAAAGGATGTAAGAAGTCATTAAATATTTGAAGAACTGTTATGTGGATTTAGGTTTATTTTTAATTTTTCCACTAGCATGGGTGGGTTAAAGTTGTAAGGTTGAGGAATTCATCTCAAGATAAGAAAGAATGACCTATAAATTACAGCTGAGCCAAAGGCATATTGATTAACAGGTTTAGAGTCAGACCAAATGAGCTCCTGTCCAAGTTATCAAAGAACAAATTCATGCTTTAAGTTCTAGATTTATGGTGTTCAAACTATGGTCTTAGATTGCTGGTATTCTACAGAGATGCCGGAGGACCAACATGCATCCAATGGGAAGGCTACTAACTCAAACTATCCCATTTTATCAGAAATTCTCAATTTGCATATGTTTTAAACATTGGATAACACATACAACTTCATTTAATTAAGCCATTTCTATGGCTAAAACCTGCCATATCCATGAACTCATTTATCATCCTGTGGTATCTTGCATATTGCTGTGATGCTAGAAGCTATTAAAATACTGGAAGGGTCCACAGGATGGACAGGTTTCAGTGACACTTGCAGATTAAGACATACTAGGAAAAAAGACCTGATGAATTACATCCAGAAGTCAGTCAGTAAAAACTTAAGGATCACAGCAGATGCTATCCAATATAGTGCTGAATGATGAGCTCCCTAGATTGAAAACCACTATGATATAACCACACCAGACACCAGCAATTTGACTGTGTAGGATTTAGTTTTGCTGTCAAGATGGCCTGCATGAGTTGGTACCAACTCAACAGCAACTGATAACAACATCATGGTTAACAAAAGCAAAAAAAAAAAAAAAGAGAGAGAGAGAGAGAGAAAAGCTCTCAAGACTGATCCAGGTTGACCCAGGAAGACCCTCAATGAGATGGATGGGCAGAGAGGACTTGAGCATGGGGGAGAGCCAGAGGATAACAAAGGCTAGGTCACGATTTCAATCTGTTGGTCATAGGGTCACTGTGAGTCAGAGTTTACTCAGTAACACCTAACAACAATGGCAACAGAGTAACCCAGCGGTCCTGCATCCTTCATTCTTCTAGTGCCTAATACTACACTGATTGCAAGAAATTATGTTTTCTATTAAAATTTTCTCAGAATTCCTGAATATAATTGCATTCTCTTTTTTTAAATCAAGATTTTAATGAAAGTATATAGAGAACTATATACTCCAGGAAGAGTGCAGGTGGTCATTACAAAGACAGAAGAGGAAGAAAAGACCAAAATGGATGTCAGAAGAAACTCTGAAGATTGCACTGGAACGTAGAGAAGCCAAAGCACAAGGAAGAATCCAAGACACTAAAGAGCTGAACAGAAGATTCCAAAAGGCAGCACGGAATGACAAAGCAAAATACTACAATGAAATGTGCGAGGAGCTAGAGTCGGAAAATCAAAAGGGCCGAACTCGTTCAGCATTTCTTAAGCTCAAGGAACTGAAGAGCAAATTCAAACCTCGAGTTGCTACAATCAAGGATGCTTTAGGCAGAATGTTAAATGATCCAGGAGGTATCAAAAGAAGATGGAAGGAATATACTGAGTCATTGTACTGAAAGGAATTGGCAGATACAGAAGAATTTAATGAACTAGCATTTGAGCCAGAGCCTATGATGATGAAGGAAGAAGTTCAAGCTGCTTTGAAGGAAATAGCAAAAAATAAGGCCCCTGGAATAGATGGCATACCAATTGACATATTTCAGCTAACAGATGCTGCCCTGGATGTGCTCACCAAGTTGTGCCAAGAAATCTGGAGAACAACCATTTGGCCAGCTGACTGGAAGAGGTCTATATTTGTTCCCATCCCAAAGAAGGGCGATGCAACAGAGTGTGGAAAGTACAGAACAATATCATTTATTTTCACATGCAAGCAAGATTCTGCTGAAGATTATCCAGAAACAACTGGAACAGCACATCAGCAGAGAACTGCCAGAAGTCCAGGCTGGGTTTAGAAGGGGTCGTGGTACTAGGGGTATTGTAGCTGATGTTAGATGGATCTTAGCTGAAAGCAGAGAATACCAGAAGAATGTCTATCTGTGTTTCATTGATTTTGCAAAGGCATTTGACTGCGTG